ACGCACGCACGACTCATGAGTTTTTTTAAAAATTTATTAATGCTTGGAACAAAAATCTGCCCATTAGGAACAGAAAATAATATTTTGGAATAAAAATTTGCTTAGAACGAAAAGTAGTAGAAAATATATAATATAATGTTGGGCTTTCAAAAACATTTGGAGGCCCCTAAATTTTAGGGGCCCTATGCGGTCGCACATCCCGCACTTATCATGGGCCGACTCTGACGGGTGTGTGAATGAGAAGTGAGAATAGGGATAATATTAACATACCTGTTCCTAAACTGGCCCGTTGCCATCCCTAACCTAAAACGAGTCCTAATATTATTGGATGATACTAGAAACACTAATTAACAAGATGTTAATTTAAAAAAAAAGACTAAATTATAGCAATAGTCCCTGGACTATACCCAACTTTACTTTTCGTCCCTTACATTGTTAAATTGTTACTGTGGTACTTTAATTATGCCTCTAGTTTTAGAAATCGTCTTTTCCGTCATCTCTGTCAACTTTTCCGTTAAAAATGATGACATGACAATGACAACTCCTACTTGGCATGGGCAAAACTGTCTTTTCACACAAAAAATAAAAAAAATAAATCTCTCTCTCTCTCTCCTCTCTCTCTCTCTCTCTCTCTCTCTGGGCTAGGGTAGAGGGTTCCGGGTTCGTGGGTGCGGGGGAAGTGATTTGCAGCACCCTTTAGCGATCTCAATCAACCCCATATCTGTCAAATCAACCAAGTTCTTGATCGACAACGACTCTAGCCCTGCACACAATGCAATGTCGTCTAGCTCGAACCCAATCGCAGAGCAAATCCACCCAAAACTCCCATTTGAATAAAGCCACAAAAAAGGGTCTGTCCCAATTTTCCAATGAGAATGAGAAAGGGTCTAACCACAAAGAAGCCCAATTTTCCATACCTCTTATACTGATACTCTTACTATTCTCCCTTCAACGAAACAAGCATTTCTACCCAATTTATCTGTTTCAATTCCCCAATTCATGGGTGCTGGGGTTGGGGGAAGTGGGAGAGTTCAGAGGAAAGAGAGAGAGAGAGAGAGAGAGAGAGAGAAAAAAAATATATTATGAATTTGCCAAGTTGCTCTTAATTTTGACAGAAAACTTAACTAAATTGACGGAAAGACCAATAATGCACTATGAGATCTAATTAAAGTCTTACGGTAATAATTTAATAATGTAAAAAACGAAAAGTAAAGTTGATGTATAATCCAAGACCATTGTTACAATTTAGCGTTAAAAAAATTATCGGACAAGAGGTTTGGTATGCTTGTGGGCGCTGACTGTCGAACTTTTCCATGCAGTAATGGAAAAGCTCTGAGAGTAGCTCAGATACCGCCCTTTGAGTCCAAACTTCTGGGGCCCACCACTCACTTTGCATTTTCCCACCGGTCACCAGCTTGGCTCACACAACCTCTTCTCCCCCTCCTCTAAGCTGCTTCGTCGCTAAGGTTTGGATTTATCCACAACATATCCCACCTCCACGCGTCCCAAAAGATCACGCTCGTAATTTCTCCGGAATGTTAACCAATAGGATCTCGAAACGTGTCCTTCAGTTTAGACTCATCTTAATTGTAATTTCATTTTATATCAGCACAGTACACTGTTCGCTTTTCCTTTTTACGTGTAAAAATAGGCAGCGAGTATCCGATCCCTTGCATCACGTGCCCGCGCACAAGCTTGCTGGGTACGCACGAGCAAGGCGATGTTTTGCACATGACCGATGCTGTACGGACGTGGGTCCCGCCACGATCGTGGATAAATTCGTCTCGATGCTATTTTAGATGAACCAAATAATCCGGTGCGAGGGGGTCCAGCAAAACAATACCAAATATATCATCGGACGGCAGGAAATGTCGTTTCAAATTCAACGATATACGCAATCACCCCCTTTTTTTTTTTTTTTTTTTTTTTTTTTTTGTAATATTTATCAGATCACCGGTGCTTTAATTAAGTTTTGTAATTATAGGTTTTTTTTTGTGTGATAAACACATTAAATGAAAAAGAATAATGAACAATCATTGGTATAAAAAACTGGAGGGAAGACTGCACAAAAAGAGAAAATAATAAATAAGGAATGCAATTTGCTTGGAAGAAGAAATGACTCCTTGCCTTCTATCTAAGAATAAAAACAAGTCTGGTTATATTTAAAAGGTAGAAAGAAAATCATCCGAAACTCGAATGTGAGAGACAAAGACAATAACGTAAAAGATTTTATTTTCTACTTGGAGTCGTATTGTAACCCATGTCGTATAAAGAGGAACTTGAGAGTTAGGTTAAATAATATAGAATACAATGGGGCATTAAATTGGGTTTCCTACCCAAATATTAAAAATTTAAAATTAATCACAAGATGAGGACAAGATGTTTGGTCTGGTGTATGGTAAACCCACTCCGCACTGCCATGCCGCCATGCAGGGAAATTGGTCTGCTTCCTTTTGTCAAAACAGTTGGGTCCCACGAGTTTCGGATTTTATCCACGACATGCTAGCTCACGGTGCTTATGCAAGCACCATTTTTCAAATTTTGTTTCCAGAATTTTCAAATAATTTCTTTTATTTTATTTTTTTTCTGCTTTTTCGGATTCTGTTTTCCCCTCTGCACAGTTCAGTTTTTTCTTTTAGGTGTAAAACAGACAGAAAGCGCCCGGTCCCAAAAGACTGTGCGAACGAGGATCCCCACGCAAAGAATAAAATGAAGAAGCTCCTGTTATATAGCTCATATTTTTGGATACGATACCAAATGTGCGACAACCAACGACGAAAGCAATGGCAAGGTGTAAACCGTGAAAAGCATCTGCTACTGCCGCGGCTGGGATCGTCGTCGTTGCGGGATTTGTGGGGCCGGCGAAGCAAGCAGCTTACGGCCTACGAGGTTTCAGTGGTCCTTTACGTTTGGAATGATTTCCTACCGTCGTTTTGTTTTTTAATCGAAAATCGTTTCAATTGCCAATGTCGCTACGAGTATTTATTTGTTACAGCTATCTCTGCCATAAAGTTAACGTAATTATGAGTTACTTAGTCATCCATACGCAAATATCATTTCTTTTTTACATCAGGTAAATATATAGATATTCACAAATATAAATAATAAAAAACTGAAAAGAAAGAAAAAATAATGTGGGTGGAGTGGAGTGGGGAGTAAAAAGAGGAATGCGGATGGAATGGGGGAGTAACTTTCTCTATATAATTACTCAGGTGGAATTTTTTTTAGGATTAGGTACTTTTTTTATCACTAGATTTTACATGAAATTTCAATTTGATCAATGTGAAAAATTGTTAGCCAAATTGGCCATTGTGTTTCCCAAAGTTTACAATTTATAGGCATTTTCTTATCTTCCATTAATTGCAGTTTTTGTTTTTTATTTTTTTATTTTTTAAGGAAGCACGTTCAATATTATTCCTCTAACTCAACGAGTTAGGGTAGTGTTTAACAAATTGGGAGAAATCTTGGGTTGAAATCGAAATTGTGAGATATAAGGTCACAGATTGGATGCTATATTGAAGCATGATTCGATTCAGTGAGAACCGTATTGTGACTTCAGATGGCAATAAAATGTAATCAAAGTGAGTGTTTTACCATTGTATCTGTCACATCCTTGTATCGGCTTCGCAGTAGCATGATATTGTCCGCTTTAAGCCTCCCTCTTTGCTCTCATGATTTTGTTCTGGGAACTCACAAGCAGCTTCTCAGTGGGTCACCCATCCTGGGATTGCTCTAGTCCCAATTCGCTTAACTTCGAAATTCCCCTGACTCTGAAGTCAATAAGCTCCCAAAAAGAACTTGGCGCTAGGGTAAACAATCTAAAAGACAATGAGGCATCACATTAGGTTTGAGTAAGGGTGTAAGAAAAATAAAGGGCTGGGGTTTTGTGTAAGAGGATTTGATTCTAAACCAAAGTTGTTCCTATTCGTCATAGTTCATTGATAACAAGGTCTTGAGTGTGTGTTAAGTACGTTATGGACTTCATATCGTAAATTGAATAATAACTTAGAAAACTTATATCGAATTGTTGAAAATGAAAAGAACTTTGAGAGCAAGATGACATTATCACTGAATGGTTAATGGATTTCACATTTTGGTATTAAAAATTAATATAGGCGGTTTTGTTGCGTTATGTGGTTTTCAAATAAACGAAACCAGACAAAAGTGCTCAGACTGGTTTGGTTTCACTGGTGTGAATAGATTAAGCGGTTTCTTATCCACCTACCTCAAAATTTATTATGAGTCTACCTACCTCCTCTGTCAGGCGATTGATAGACATGCGCGCAACAGATGCATACATCATTATCTTAAATTGGTATTATATATTGTTTAGGTTAAAAACCTTAAAAAGTAAATAAAAATCTAATTTCACATATGTCATTATTATATTACGAAAAACAAATATTTATAATTTGTCAAGAAATGCAATTCCTTCCCATAAACCTAGGTAAAAAGAGTTAACCTAAAAAAAATGAAATCCTAATTATAAATTTGAGATTTAAGTCATCCACATAATTATTAGAAAAATATTAGTACACACTTGCTACCCTTTCTATGCATTTCTCAACTAAAATATAACAGTCGTCTCTCTACTTATCTTAAAAGCTAAACAGGCAATACATAACAAATTTATTTTGCCGGAAAAATGTTAAAATCAGGAGCACCATATGACAAGGCTTTTATTTATTATTAGCAGCCAAAGCGTCTTCACTCCCAATAAAACAATGCCCCAACATTTGCCTAATAACACGGTGGGTCCTCTCTAAGCATGGTCTCGGAAATGCGGGGAGGGCATAATCGGCATTTATTAAAAACGAGAAATTAGCCGTCTTCATCCCACGACTTACTTAGCACGTCTTCGTTTTCTTTGCTATATAATAACATGCATACATACACCCACTCTCCCTCTCACACCAAAGTTCTCTCTTCACTTCACCCCACAACCCCACTCTCTCTCACCTCATTTTCTCTCTCTAGAATCCAGAACGACAAGAGACTCGATGTCTCAACGTGGCCGAGGCCGAGGCCGCCATTACGACCAGTCGTCTGGCTCCGACGCCCCGACGTTTCATCGCGGCGGAGGTGGCGGAAGACGCGGTAGAGGACGAGACGGTGGTGCTCCACCGTCGTTTCCGTCCGAATCGGGTCCCAGCCAGCGCGGCCGAGGTAGAGCCGGCGGTTCTGGCGTCGTCGCTCCTCCGCCGGTTCAAGGTTACGCTCCTCCACCTCCGGTTCAAGGTTACGCTCCTCCACCGCCGTCTCAAGCTCGCGCTTCTCAACCGCCAGCTCAAGCTTACGCTTCTCCTCCGCCGGCTACGGTTCAGGCTTCGTCCAGTTCTGCTCCTCCGTCTGCGGAGGCTCCGCTGATAGCTGAGATGGAGCAGAAGCTAACATTGACGACACCTCCACCGTCGTCGTCCAAGGCCGTTAGAGTTCCGGCGAGGCCAGGATTTGGGACGTTTGGGACCCGGATTCAAGTGAGGGCTAACCACTTCTTGGTGGAGGTTAAGGAGAGAGATCTCCATCACTACGATGTAAGCCTCTTTGTTATTAATTTCTATTTGCTATTTGATAAAGTTTTCCCTTTTAATATTTCTGAGTTTATCTCTCTCATGTCCATTTTGGACTCTTCCTTGTTGTTTTGCATATGCTTTTATTTTTTCGATATATTTTGTTTATTCCTTTTTGTTTCTGTAAATGTTATTTTATATTTCCATTTAAATTTTGCTCTGCTGTAGTTGTCAGCTTGACCGAGAATGGTGTTTTGGGACCCAAAATTTGTTTGATGTTCTTAAAACTTTCTTTCGGAAGCAAAATACCGACTAGCAAACAACTATTTCATATTTTTCTACAAAATTTCTTTCATATTCCCCTTTTTTTCTCCACTGTTGTAAATTTGACTCGTAAAGGTGTTTTGATGTTTCGTAAACGACTTTTCTTGGTCAAAATACTGAATAGCAAACAAAAGCTAATCCAGAACCTTCTTTTCCGGTAAATTGTCTGTTATATTTTCTTTTTGTTTTAAATTGAACGGAAATGTGTTTTAGAAATTATTTTATATTTGATTGTTACTGAAACATTTGCTTGTATCAAATTTCTTTCATATTTCCTCTACTTTACTCTTGTGCTTTAGGAGGTTTTTTTTAATCTTCCCGTACCACATTTCTGAGTCAGATTACTGAATATCAAAACACCTTTCATCGGAAGTGTCGTTGAAATAGGTGGCTATTCAGTATTTTGACTTAGAAAAGTGTTGTGGGAATATCGGAAATGTTTTGGTATTTTCTGAGTGACAGTAATAAGAAACTTTGTTTTAGAGAGAGTTCTTTTTATCCCCAGAAAACTCAAATTGTTTTGAGATTTAATGTTCTGGCGTATTTTTTTTGGTCTGTTTCACAAGATTATTATTTGTTCTCTGTTTTGTGGTTATGGGTGGGGTTGTCTTAACAATTTCATTTGGTGGCTTTAGGTGTCAATTACCCCTGAAGTTACTTCAAAAAAGACCAACAGAGATGTGATTAAACAGCTTGTTCATCTGTACAAAGACTCACATTTGGGAAAGAGAATCCCAGCTTATGATGGTATGAAAAGCATTTACACAGCAGGGCCATTGCCATTTGTCTCTAAAGAGTTTGTGGTCAAGTTGGGTGAGAGAGATGGACGTGATGGGTCTTCTGGTTCCAAAAGGTATTTTCGGATAAGAGTTTAGTGTGTCGTGTTTGTTTCCTTTTTGGATTTTTTATAGTTGCCTGTTCTCTGAATATTTTTATGTTGTGTTTGAATGACTTACAGAAAGGACAGGGAGTTTAAGGTGGCTGTAAAATTGGCCAACAAACCCGACCTTCATCAGTTACAGCAGTTCTTAAAGAGTAGGCAACATGAGTCGCCTCAAGAAGCCATACAAGTTCTTGATGTTGTTCTTAGGGCCGCACCATCTGACAAGTATTCGTCTCCGTTTGTTAGAAAGAGCATATGATTTCTTATATCCTTGTATTAATCATTTCCTAACTGTGATGGTTTGAATGTTGTATTTTCTATCATAGGTACACTGTCATTGGGAGGTCTTTCTTTGCCACTGAGCTTGGGCCGAAAGGAGAACTTGGTGATGGTCTCGAATATTGGAGAGGATTTTACCAGAGTTTAAGGCCAACACAGTTTGGGCTTTCCCTGAATATAGGTTTTGCATTCACCTAATTGCCGCTGTTTTGAGAATCATGCTAAGCCAAGTAACAAAAATGCCTTGCCTAATGCTTTAATTCATATGTTGCAGATGTATCGGCCAGATCTTTTTATGAACCCATTCTGGTGACTGAATTTGTTAAAAAACATTTTAACTACAGGGATCTGTCCAGGCCTTTGTTTGATCGTGATCGTTTGAAGGTATTCACAATTCTCTTTCGGTCTGTGGTATGCGGTTTTTAAAGGCAAATTGCGAAGAAGTAGAGTAATATAAATAAGAGACACTCTGTTAATTGAACAGTTTTCAAATTATTTTCAAATTTTCTGAACAAGTAAAAGTTGGTCATAATATTTTTATGTGCAGCCTGCTAGTATTTGGGCTCAATGGGTTGAGAAACTACATCTAATTTTAGCATGCAATCAGTTGCTTATAATGCGTTGTCTTCAAGGCCCCTTATTGCAATATTTTTATTGTGGTATTCTTCTACTTACAGTTGAAAAAAGCCTTGAAGGGGGTTAAGGTTGCACTTGCTTACAGGGATAATAGGAGTTATAGGATCACTGGAGTGTCCACAGAACCACTGAGCAAATTAACGTGAGTCTTGTAATAATTTATGCTTGTAGTTTGCATGTGTATATTTAAATATGTACAGCTTGATAAATAACTTAATATTCAACTTTGCAATTTAGGTTTACTTTAGAAGATAACAGAACCAGAACTTCAGTAGTTCAATATTATCATGAGAAATACAATATTGTACTACAAAATGTGACTATGCCTGCTTTACAAGCTGGGAGCGATTCGAAACCTGTTTATTTACCTATGGAGGTACCTTTCTTGATCTTTTAAGCATTTATTTTCCAGTTTGATTCTCTTCTAAGTACAGTACTAGTATTAAAACATGATTGATTTATTTTCCTTTATGGCAGCTTTGTTCAATCGTTGCTGGGCAACGATACTCGAGGAAGCTCAATGAAAGACAAGTCACAGCCTTACTACGAGCGACTTGTCAACGTCCTCATGAGCGGGAGAGGAACATAAAGCAGGTTTAGCTGTGCTTTTTTATCTTGACAATGAATGTATTTCTTTTCTTAATCTACATTGAGTTATTATCTTGTTTCTTGAATCATATTAGTGCATTCATGCAGATGGTTAAGCAAAGTAATTTTAATCGAGATCAACTGATCAAAGATGAATTTGGGATGCAAGTAAGAGAAGATATGGCTCTAGTGGATGCTCGAGTTTTGCCTCCTCCATTGGTAATGATTTGTCTCCATTTTTGTTCAGGCACTACAAGCATTATTGAACTTGTTTTCTTACTAATGTTTGTATTGAATGGCACAGCTAAAATACCATGACCAAGGTCGTGAAACGAAGGAAACTCCACGGATGGGGCAATGGAACATGATTAATAAGGTGAGATAGTGGGTTTTTTATTCCTTAGATGAAGCTGCTGGTGAATTGTGCATCTGTCGAACTTTAATGCCTATGTGTTATAACTTCTGTGATGTGTTTTTTTTAATTGTCAAATCTTCAGTTTGGGTTTGATGATAAGAAATCAAAGATTTCTGGAAAGTTGTTTTGTAGCATTAGGAGGAATTCATATAAGATATGTTAATTTAGACCATAATATTTAAAATAACGTGTTTCTGGTTGTTCTTTGATTGTGGGGCTGCATCAAAAGTAAGAGAAGTTTTTCTTACTCACCTTTTCTTCATTGTATGCTGGTTTTGTAGAAAATGGTAAATGGTGGAAAAGTGGATTTTTGGGCGTTTGTCAATTTCTCAGGATTGAGAGAAGATTTTAACTTCCGATTCTGTGAGGATTTGGTGTATATGTGCGATAGCAAGGGCGTGGTATGACTTTAATTCTTATTTCTTTCCATTCTTCCCTTGAAATATTTGTTTGTCAATGTTCTAACGATATTATCTTCCTAGGATTTCCATGCCCAACCTTTACTTCCCATAGAATCAGCCAATCCTAGGCAGATTGAGAAGGTGCTCAAAGATATTCATAGGAAGTCTACTCAGAAACTTGAAGAAATTGGTCATAAGGGGAAGCATCTTCAGCTGTTGATTATCATTTTGCCTGATGCCACTGGGTCTTATGGTGAGAATCAAACCAGGACCAAAACGCTGTCTTTACTTGCAAGAAAACTTATTTTTTATATATGATTTCTTATATCCCTTTTTTTTATAGGGATGGTCAAGCGAATATGTGAAACTGAGCTTGGAATTGTGTCTCAGTGCTGTCAGCCTAGGGCAGCATCCAAGCTTAGTAAACAATATCTTGAAAATTTAGCCCTTAAGATCAATGTGAAGGTTTGTTCTTTATCTTTTGTGTTTGATGTTTCTCACTGTTTTCTTTGGGCATGCAAATTTTGACACATGGAATTTTATAATTTTGTAGGTTGGTGGAAGAAATACTGTTCTAAATGATGCCATTTACCGGAGGATTCCTCTGGTTACTGATATCCCCACAATTATCATTGGTGCGGATGTTACTCATCCACAGCCTGGGGAGGACAGTAGCCCGTCAATTGCAGCAGTAAGTTCTGTATTCAACTCTACTTTTTATGAAAACTTGTTGTGTGTTAACCTGTTAGTTTATTCCAACAGGTCGTGGCCTCCATGGATTGGCCAGAGGTCAGTAAGTACCGAGGAATTGTTTCTGCACAGGCTCACCGTGAGGAAATAATCCAAGATCTGTATAGTTTATATCAGGATCCTCAGAAGGGTTCAGTTCATGGAGGAATGATCAGGTATATATCAGGAAATAATCACATGCACCTTTTAACTGGCCGATAGTGAGGACATTTTCTTATCATGCTTATTGTCATTATGTTAGGGAGCATTTCAGAGCATTTCGAAGATCAACTGGCCGAAAACCGGAGAGAATTATCTTCTACAGGTAAATTGTGCATATGTTGAACGTCAATGCATGTGTCTAAACTTCTGTGTTGTGTGTGTGTGTGTGTGTGTTTTTCCTTCCTTTCACGGGTGTGAAATCTTCAATATGTGTTCAAGGGTAACAAAAGCAAGAATTCTGCAATTGAAGTGGTTTTGGAGCATTATGAGGAATTCATATGACGTGTTAACTTTATAGTGTAAATATTTAAAATAATGTGTTTACTGGTTCAGTGATATGCGATGCGGCATCTGAAGTTTAATATTTATTCTGGTGTTTTTTTGACAGAGATGGAGTTAGTGAAGGTCAGTTTAGTCAAGTTCTGCTCTATGAAATGGATGCTATAAGAAAGGTATGTTGATTACTAGAATTCTACTATCATTTGTGGGATTGGGTAGATTGATTGAAATTTAAGATTTTAGAACATAATAGAATAACAAATTCTTGAGAAGGGTGCTTTATTTAATATGTTTCGCTATTTTTCCAGGCTTGTGCTTCCTTGGAGGAGGGATATCTGCCACCAGTTACTTTTGTAGTGGTGCAGAAAAGGCATCATACTCGCCTGTTCCCTGCTGATCATAACAGACGTGATCAAATGGATAGGAGTGGCAATATTCAACCAGGTTTAAAGTATTTTTGGTTCATTGTCATCAAATAAATATGATATTTTTTTTCCTCTGGGAACACTAATTGTTTTTACCTTGTCTAGGCACTGTTGTTGACACCAAGATTTGCCACCCTACAGAGTTTGATTTTTTTCTCAACAGTCATGCTGGAATTCAGGTACTTTGTGTTGTTGACTTAAACATGCTAGATGCATTTTGGTTGTAGGTTCCTTGACCGGTTTTGTGGATTTATTTTGGTCCCATGCTTTTCTGTTTTAGTATATAATTTCAACTGTCGTCTATTATGTGTATAGGGTACTAGCAGGCCAGCGCACTACCATGTGCTGTTTGATGAGAACAGGTTCACTGCTGATCAATTGCAAAGTCTAACGAATAATTTATGCTACACGTGAGTTTACAATGATTTCAATTCTTGTTTTGATTTGCACTTGTGTTGCGCATTTTGAAAATAGTATTTTGTTTGTTAACTTTACAAGTTTATGCTTTGTGACTTTTCAGGTATGCAAGGTGTACCCGCTCGGTTTCAATAGGTACAAACTTGTGTTAATTGTTTTTTTTTTCCTCTTTCATTTTCTGGAGTATATGCTTTTGCCTCCTGCTCTCCACTGGTGTTTATGATGATTTTACGTGCAGTTCCGCCTGCTTATTATGCTCATCTTGCTGCATTCCGAGCACGATATTACATTGAGGGAGAATATTCCGATGTAGCCTCTACAACAGCAGGTTCAACAAGTGGGAGCGGAGGCGGCGGCAGCGTGCTGATTCGGGCCCTTCCTCAGATCAAAGAAAATGTTAAGGATGTGATGTTTTACTGCTGAGTTGGGAGAGAATACTTTTGGGGGTGGTAAAGCTGGTGTGCTGCTTTTGGGCGATTGCGTTTTGTTAGGCCCCTTTTTGGTATATGACATCTTTACAGACACTGAATATATGGTTTTCTTGTTACTATGATGGCCCTGTGATTTTGTGGATCAGGCCTTTTATCCTTACTTTTTCGGAGCTGCTGGATATGACTCGGTTTCAATAGATAGAACCACCAATTTCTGTAATTGGATATGAATTTGTTCATATTTTAGTAGGCGAGGAGACGGTTTTGGGATTTTGAGAATTGAGTTATATCCTTATAATACTTGTCCAGAGGCCTTTTTCAAACGGATTTGGCTAAAACCAAGCCCATTGCAAGAATTGGATCTTGGTAGATTTTGTTATTTACAAGGAGTGGAAAGCTTCTTTGTTATATTGTAAATGGGTTTTTAGTGTGTTTTTAAAGTTCATTTTATATATGGTTTTTTTTATAAATAATTTGGGTCTATATATTGGGTATAATAGTGAATCTTCCTTGGAATTAATCCAAAACAACTCTTATTAGGTAGATGTGCTTGTACTTTATTGAAGAATTGCAGATCAATCTCATTGAGAATTGGTCATTCGGTGCATTGACCTCTTTCTAATTTTAAAAATAATTGAACAAAAATTTCACAAAAAAACAGTCCCTTGAACATGCGCTTAGTGTGTAAGCCCAAGACCTTGTACATTCACGAGAAAAGAAAGTCTCATCCATGCACACGCGCATGATGACATTTTCACCCAAACCAGTTACTTAGTAGCTTGGTCACGGTCTTTGTACGGGAGAAGGGCAAAATCGTCATATATAGATTGAAAATCTGGCCTTCCCTTTGCTATAAATTCAAACGCTGCCCTTCATTCCAAATCTCACCTCTTTCTTTCTTCCTCCGGTTTTTCTCTTCCAACTAAAAACATCAAGCCGCGGTAGATGAAGAGCCTGATGTTCTGTGATTACTCCGACTCCCGCTCAATCTCATGCTCTTCCACTGTGCACTGCATGGCTGCATTCTGGTGTTGGAGCCTAAGGTTGAGCCGGAAATCGGAGTAATTGGAATCTCTTTCAATGGAGTTCTATACATAAAATAGTTGGTAAACTCTCTGAGTGTGTGAGTGTTTGGATAAAGAGTATCAAACATATATAATTGTTCCACTTATCTATTTGGTTGATGGGATTCAATCGTGTGCACATATATAATCACGTCCTAGTGTTATAAGTTTCTGTTAAATTATTATCCCACATTTTCTATACATGTCTGTTTTTGGCGCTCTCTCTCTCTCTCTCTCTCTCCTTCCTTTGATCTTATTATGGAGTTTAGAATTATGCCTTACTTTGTGCCTTGGGCATATATTGTCTTCCAAATACCCCATTTAGAAGAGAGAGATTCGTAAAGACTGGTTTTGACTCAATATCAATCCAAACAAATCCAGTCCAGGCGAACCACTGACCCACTTTAAGTCCCATCAAATTTTGGAAGTTTCCATTTCCAATTTGCCAAGCCGGCTACTCTCTTAGGATTTTAAAGTCCCTCAAATTCCATGTTGAAGTTACAGCCCAATTAATACACGACACAAAGCAAGTTTTGTATAAACTAATATCCCATTAAACCAATTACATGTAAATGTAATTTACAACGTGTTAACAGGGCAATGTGTATTTCTACTCGAACTAGGAACACTCAGAAAGAGAGAACCCGCAAACCTATTGCAACTGAACAGCCAAAGGGGGCTATGAAAATTATAGCATCAGGTCTTGCCGGTTGCTATAAATTTAAACCAGCAAGAGACTACATATACAATGGAAAAAAGGAAGAAGAAAAGAATGGTAGCCCCATATATCTTCAAGTGTATGCTATAAAAACAGGAAGTTTCCTTGCAGAGATATGATGAGCACAAGAAAAGCCACTATGCTTGCCGGTATCAGATCGTAGGGATCGAGATGCAACGAACTGCTGTCACTTATCTGTCCTGCATTGACATATTCACTTTTTCCGGTTCTACTTGTTGCAGAGACGTTAACGGACATTGAACCTAAAACGATAATGCACCGTATCAAAGTTTAGTGTTAGCATAATCTAAAAGCTTGGACAGTGGATAGCAGACAATCAATGATTGCATAAAATTGCTTTTCGGCAGGGTTACTGAAACTTACAGTCATAGTTAGCCCATCCAATTCGTTGACCACCCAAATCATAAACAATGATTTTGTCTTTTAGCACAAGGTCTGGCAAAAGGAAGATTGAAATAATGTTAACACTTACGCATAAATAAGGGCAAGGATTTTAGGGTGGCGAAAGCGGGAGAAAAAGAGAGAGAGTTGTACCAAATATGATGATAGCGTAGGTGAAAAAAATGTATTAAAAATTCTCATGTACAATGATTTCTACTCTAATGTATGTCCACTGACAAAGCTCATGAGATAATGGAATATCAACCTTGAAAGGAACTGTCTAGAGCCTACAAAACTAATTAGTCAATACAAAGTTTCCAATTTGGTGTCTATACCTCCTAAAATCGTTATTCCTGAACCTTGAAGTTTCTGAAGGCCAATGCACCACCTTGCAGCCCCACTCTGTAATAATAAAATTAGCCATCTCAGCTAAAGATTCAGACAGCAAGACTACAGTTGTACAAGGTGATAAAGAAAGAATAAGCATGTATAATTAGAAAACCATTTCCCCTTTCCAATAAATACCAGTGCTAAATGCTCCGAGTGGGAGCAACCATTAATGCAGCAAGTAGTAAAGAAAAATTCGCAGGATGAATACTAAGGAATAGTCAAGGCAGACATATATGCAATTGTAGAATCAATCATAAGGCCTCTTCAATAGAAGAAGCAGATGCATTTCACTCCAACTCAACAGCATTTTGTGTGAAAACAAATGTCCAAGCAAGTGCTTAGAAACCGAAAATAACTAAACAGAAAACTTACAATAGATCCCTGCTGTATAAGGTAGTCCTGAGGTCTCAGAATCATGGATGCGCCACCAGCAAAGTTTAAACTAACTTGAGGAAATATATCACTGACACTGAACAACAAATAAGCATACATTTTAGCGTAAAATCACTGCAAAAGAGAAAGCACTGAAGGAAGAAAGAATGGAGAAAACAAATCCAGAAAGTTAACCTGGAGGTAATTAAATAACACTGGTTTCCGTTTGAAACAACAGGGTGCACAGATTGTGAAACAGAAGCAGTAATCTACACGATAAGAAAAAAATATATAATTCAAGATACTTCTAACTTATGCTTACCCAAATTTTCTGAAATTTAAAACTCAGTTTCATCACCAGGAAGGTTGACTAGATAAACATGTCAAAGAGCATGAAGTTTTCATTTATTTCACTTGAAGCATCAGAATTATGGTCTAAACAGACGAATTATGACTAGGAAATCACACAAGTCATAACTAAGACTTACAGCACTGATAAAAGGATCATAAGCTTCAGATGCAAGGTATGCCAAAGTTGTACCAGAATCAACTATGGTTCCTCGATTACTTGATGTTGCAAACACTGATGGATCAATTTGTAATATTTGCCCATTGACAGAAATGCTCTGCAGATTCAAATTATAATGAGGCCTGAAATATTTAATGTCCAAATGATTAGTCAAAACAGAGCAGTGAGGTTTATACGATCTAAATCTCATGGATTCTAGTAGAAAACAAAAATAAAATAAAAATTTCCTAACATTGAACCTATTTGAACTGAACTACAAGTTAATGAGTTTGTAGAGAAGTATTATGTCCAATGACTAGTTAACTTGTCAAGGATTCCAAATGGTCAAGTGACGTTCCATTTTAATGTCATACTCAAGGCTCTTTCTTTTCATACGAAAATAATCTTCTGAAGGTAGTTTCGTTGTGTTTCCATAATTGTTAGGTTTCAGTTGAACTATAATTTACTATAACAGGGGGATTTACATTTGATTCCTTGACGATAGTGAAAATAACAGAAGGCCAGAAAATAGTATTGGGTTCAGGGTAACATTGTAAGATGTGCAGTGTAATCATAATATAAAGGAACGTACTGTGATGGGACGAGCGGGCTATAGACTATATTTGGTTCCACAATCTCGCCGATAACCAATATACCTCCACCACCATCGTCTCCCCTCAAGCAGTGGGAGAAGACGTTTGGTGCTACTCCTTGTGAAGCCAATTGAGAGATGACAGACATACCCTGTTGGCCAAACCCAAAGATCCCATCAACTGCTCTATCTGACTTTGTCAAATCACCAGTCTGCAAGGTGCTACACCTGTTTTTACCATCCTAGAGAATGACTTTCAAGATTCAAGCAAAATGTACAAAGAGTATAAATCAATTATATAACTTGGAAAGATTAGTTATAACTCACCCAAAGACAATGGAAGCTGAAGCATTTTGTGTTACAGAACCCTCAAGAATCGTCTCAAGGTGCAACAAGTCTGATACATAATAGCCTGATGTCCCACTGCCATCGCCATACTGGAATGTGTATGAACACTGGTTACTCTGAGTGGAACAATCCGAATCTGATGATTGAATGCCAAGACTGCATCTTCGATCCGAACAAGAAATGAATTGTGATGTTGATGAGCTTTGAGGATCAAACAAATTGAGCTCAATCTGTAAGAATTACAAGCAACCCTTTTGAAAATTGTAGCAACACATGGCTCCTAAGCTTTCACAAACTCAGAGAGACTGAAACTATAAATGGAATTTTGAGAGCAAGCAAATGTGATTTTACCTGGAGTCCACTTGTTTCAGGGCAACCGTTGCAGGAACCACAACTGACCCACAGAACATCACTTCCGGTATCAATCTGCACATAATAATCTTTCGGAGGAGATCCCAATTGCAGTTTTGTATAATAGAGCCTGTAAAAGAGGAACAAATCACAGGAAAGGCAACAGAATTAGTAAGAATCCTCCAAACGTTAAAATGATAGATACCCACTACTGCTGCAACAGTAAACTTGAAACTGAACAGAAGCCAAAGCAAATCCAAAGCTAGGAACTTGCAGAAAATGAGCATAAAACTTGTAGAAATTTTAAAGAAACAAATGAAGAAAGAAGAGATACTTAACAATCAATCACAGAAGGGAACTAATTACAAGCAAAGAACCCAATATAAAAACGGAAACCAGTATCCACAAAACCAAATCAAAACCCATATATCCTTCACAACCAAACAAGACAATTAAATGAAAAGAAGCCAGAAACACACAAATAAAAGAAAATCCATCTCACAAAACCATAAAAAAAGAAGCACAGAAGGTGTCAAATTACCCAACGCGGAACGGATCGAAGGTTCCCCGAACAGGTAAATCAACGATACCATTAGAGGACTGAAGCATTCTTCCATGCCTGGCTCTGTCCCGAGCTCTGAGTTGACTCAACTCCACTCGGAGGCTATTAGGAAAAGCTCTCTCGAGGCTGAGGGCGGCCGGGAAACTACACAGCACCACAGCCGCCGACGTCAGAATTGCACCGGCGATTAGAATTCCGAAAGGAAAGCCCATTTTCGCGTGTCTGGGTCAGAATCAGACCAAAAAACCAATGGCAACAATTATGGAAATAACAACAAAAGATTCAAAAGCTCAGAGCTTCCAAGAGCAGGCAAGGCTTGTGTTGTTTTCTTAAACACTAATGTAGATTGAGGCAAGTATCTCTGTTGTGGGTTTTGAAGAATAAGGAAAGACAAGAGTCTTCTTCTTCTTCAGAGGGAGAGAGAGAGAGAGAGAGAGAGAGAGATGGGAATTGAGGAAAGCCTGAAACAGTAAGTTTCAAAATTGCGGCAATGGATTACGTTACCTTCCTTTATATTATTAATTTAATTTGTTTATCTTTTTTACTTTTGCTTTATTATTTTTATTATTTAACTTTCATCATTCTTTATTCTTTCACTTCTGAAAGTACAAATTTTTGGGTATGAACTGTGACAAGTGGGATCTTCGATGCGGTTTCCTGTTTGGTGAGCTACAGAATCATGCGCGTAAGCCGTACGCCCTTTGTCTTTCTTTCTCAATAATTCAGCCTGAGTTTTATGGATGCTGATTGTTATGGAAGAAGATGATCAAGTTAGTGATATCAGCAATGCCACCTAAACTATATATGCTTGTTTTCATTTGTCACCTTAATGAATATTTTGTTGTAATGGCAGAAAAGTCTGCATGCAATGTGGTGTCTATCACTCCTTATATCACTCAAGGGGAATTTCTCTTTATCTATTTAGGTTGTTTTGTCTATTTTTCATCCACAAAGATAACGTACGGTGATTCGTACGTGACTCATTTGAGTTGTGTTTTAACATCTAAAATATCGGTACACATTTTGTTTGAAGAATCACAAGCGAAACACATGCAATTTTTCAGATGAAAAAATAGATGAGTTTATTCATAGATAAAACATTGCAACAAGATTTTAGTTGGTGGGAAAATAATAAGTTTTGGGGCAACAATAACTCCAAATACTAATAATGATGAAGCCTTTTTATTTGCACTTTTCCATTTTGTCACTCTACCACTATGGTTTGAATCAATGCATTATTGAGTACAAGGAGTACAACCCATGAAAATGAAAATAAATAAATTACTTAATAAATTGACTTTTTTTTTTGCTGACCGTACGATTTCATTTTCTTCAACCTTTCTTGGGACATCTCTCCTCTGGTTGAAGAAGAGGGCCCAATGCCTACTATTTGCCTCCAAAAGAGCCGAAATCTTCCAATTCAACTATCTTTTCTAAATGCCCATATAGCCCCTATCTTTGATTTCAACTTTAGCAGAAACCAATGCACAATTATTTCTTCTTTTCTGCTAAAAGAAATGCACAATTATTTCACATTTTCCTTTACATGGTCGGTTTTCAAAGCTAAAGTAGTTCGCGTTTAGCAGTCTCTCTTTTATTATATACTTGTTTAAAGCAGAGCAGGTTAACCTTTTTCCAAATGACTAATTTACCCCCATATACTTTTTGGTAAGGGGTATTGCTTTCTTCATTTTTCTTAATTTGAAAGCCATCCAATTCTGTTTTTCCAATACTTTTTTTAATTATTGGTAAGGATTAGTTGATTATTAGATTCAATTAAAATTGAATTATATACTTTACAATCCAATATAGTTTAGATTGGAATTTTTTTAGTGGATTCATACACTTTCACAACCATAAAAGTAGAAATAGTCAACTTAGATAAGCCCCTTATATTTTATCTGAATTTGAATTTCCCTTCTTGTAGTTTAGATTAAATTAAAGTAAAATAATACTTGTATGAAAAAGAAAAAAGAAAAAAAGGGAGATTCACTATTATAACCAATATAGGGGCCTAAACTATAAAAATACCCCATATGAAATGGACTTTAGAAACACACTCAAAGTCCATTTACAACATAACAAAGAGGCTTTTAACTTCTTATAAATTACAAAACTGCCATCAATTTCTTAAAACAAGCTCAACCCCAAAATCTCATAAAAATACCCAAAACACTTAATAGGGTATCAAAGTAATTTAATAATCAATATTAAATTCAATAAAGCCAGCTGTCATTTTTTGGGTTTGTTTATAGAAATTCAATAGTGTAGGGTTTATTTATAATATTAGTGCTAAGAATGGATAATATCACTAAAAAAAAAAAAAAAAAAAAAAAAAAAAAAAGAAGAAAAAATAAATTCTGATTCCAAATTTAAAATTACAATATATATGAAATATAATTTTGAAAAAATATATTAAAAAACATTGTTTTCAATTGAATCGATTGAATGAGGTCAGATGAAGAAAGTAATTTAGAGTTGAAACACTCTTACTACTTTTCTGCTTTATCAGCAGTGAGACACTTGGACATTTTTCTTTGATCGGCAACTTGGCAACGTCGCAGCAGCATTAGGAACAGAAACTGCCAATTGCCACGTACCGCAACATGACTTCAAACCAATATCCGAGTCAAAGACTTCACCTAAAAGAAAAAGAAAATAAAAATGATGAGACATCTCAATTATTTTTAAAAAGAGATTTTCTATTTTCTATTATTATTAAATGATAAAGATATTATAAATTAATTTTATATAAGAATAAAAAAAAAAAAAAAAAAAAAAAAAAAAAAATAAACAATCATGGGATGAGATATTTTTTTGTTGTTGAATGTGAATATTAATGTTTACATCTTCCCTTGACCAATTAAAGAGCTACTCATAAGTGCACGCCTCTAAATCTAGAAACAAAAGAAGCTTACTATGTGAGCAGCTTGGTGGTATCAATTATATGAAGAAGTGATAATGATAAGTTGTAAAGTTGGAGTTAATGTCGACTGATTAAAATTTAGTAGATTAATCAAATAGTTAATTTTTTTTTAAACGTACATAAATACATGGATTTTTTTTTTTGGGAGTAAATAGCAATAGTATTCTATTGATATGAGGATAAGCAATAAGTTACAAAAATCGAGCTGGCTATGTTGTCAAGGATTAAACGAGTGTCTCTATACATATGAGCTTGGTCGTCTGTCTAACTGATAGCCTTGAAATTCAAAAACATTTACTAATTCAATGTCAACATATCTTTAGATATGCTAACTTTGTTGCAGATGCTTTAGCAAAATTATAGTTCTAATTGACATATTTGGCACGCTCCCTTCATGTGTAGTCTCCTTTCAATTTTGATAGTAGGTGTCAGTAACCCAAAAAAAAAAAAAACCAAAAAAAAAAAAAAAAAAAAAAAAAAAAAAAACCCACCCAACCTCTCTCTCTTTGTCCCTCTCTTCCTTTATATCCTCTCCCCCTTTAGTTTCCTAAATAGAGAATTTCCGGTCACCATCTCCATCAAAACCGTCGCAACAGTTTGCTCAGATCCCTTGGAGATTGATGTTTGTTTTCATCTTTTGGTACATTTGGAAGTGGGGGAATGATTTTATCTTTAATGATGAAGCAGCCTTGCCTTTTAACTCTCGTGAATTGATCATGTATGCGTCTAAGATTGGGTAAAGGCTACTACTAATATTCGTACTTGAATTGGTAATTAAGGTTCAGATTATGTTAGCTTGGACTCCGCCTGATATTGGGGTTCTTAAGCTAAACGTGGATGGGTCTCATAGAGGCAGCACAGGAACCATTGGTGCTGGATGGGTTATCACAGATTCTTTGGGACATTGGATTGCTGGATTTTCTGTCATATTATTCTTAACAAAACACACACTCCTGACTCCTCCACATGAAATATAAGTTACATGGACTGATTCTTCGAATGCAAGCACTTGTGATTTAGCTAAACCAAAGATAATGTTTATTTAATCTTTCTTTATTTGGTCAAAGTCTATTTAATCTTCGATTAGTTCCATGTTAATTATATTGTTCTTTGGAGACAACTAACAAATGTACTGTCACGTTGTCACAGCCCAAAAACAGAAAATCAAGACCAACATGCCAACCAAGAAATAAAGAAGGAAGCTTCCTCACATTCCTTCTGGAAATGGCACAGAAATCAGGAAGCTTCCTCACATTGATCACATCTAACCTTTATTTAGTGAAACATATTTTAAGCACAAATTGGAAAGCAAAGAAAATGCCCGACTGACTGAGGGGAAGAAGGGAGAAGATATTTATTATTATTTCATATGAAAACGCCCGCGAAAACTCATACTTAAACTCCAAACCAAATTAAATCGCATCCAGCAAATTTCCAGTTACAACATTATGTGTAAGCCTTTTCTTTTTGTTTCCAAAAGTTTGGTCCAAGATACCTCATAGCCAAAGTGTAAGTAGTCGCTAAATTAATCAAACAAAAGTATAATTCAAAAATTTATTTTCTTACAAATATAATTCGAAAATTTGTAATCAGTAAGAATATAATATGTATATATAGAAATTTTCCTATTCGGACGTTATTATTGTGCAGACGCCGCGTATTTTCTACTAGCCCTCCCCGTTTTCTTCCATGTTTATAATGGCATCCGCACGATAATAATGTGTGGACATCCGGATGAGAGAATAACTGATAGGGTTAATATATATTTTACTTGATAGGGCTAAAAAATAAAGTATTAGATTCAAGAAAACTATTGAATGTACATACACTAGTCGCAGCTACAGATTAATGAGAATCCTCTATAATGACATGTTTACTAATCCATAATTGTAATGAACTCCTCCTCAATTCAATTTCTTTGCATCCTGATTACGATTAATAAACATGTCATAAATTGCCTGGAATAAATCTTGTGGACAACACATACAATATAATAAATAAACTTTCAATATCCAAGGTGCATATTCGAACATGATAATCAAAAGTTTAAGAGTGGAACTAATTATCAACACAATGAAACTGAAAGTTTTTTTGTTGTTGGTTTGGTCAGAAATGAAACTGAAAGTTAACATTAATCAAAGAAATGCGGAGAAGAATTTGGAAAACCTCAGCCACCAAACAGATCAAGGAGATAGATTAACAAGACTTGAAAAAATTTATTAAAGATAAACCTAGCTATTAGATTAACTTCAGAAAAATAAAGGATACTTAAATATTACTGAGCAGGAAAACAGCTGCTTTTGGCTCTCATTGACGGCTTCAAGAAGCTCTTGTTGGAAAAATGAGTGCTAAATTGCTATAAAATAAACAAAATAAATACTGCACATAAAACAGATTTTTACAAAAGGAGAATTGAATTAGAAGAACCTTAATTGAGTCGAGGCAAGTGTTAGACACTCTGACCTTAAGACGAATTACGCCCCACACTGGTGCTTATGGTTCACTAGCGTTCGCCTCCCAGGATACAACGACTCCCCTCCTTGTGAAAGAAGCACTACAATTCACAAGGAACTTTGAACCAAATTATGCAGGAACCTCTCTTTATGAAAACTCTAATGCTTTCTATATGTGAAAGTCTGTATGTAGAGAATTAAACTGAATGAATAAAACTGAAGGAGGATTGCTCTATTTATAGATGATGAAATACCCTTTCTAAAAAGGTATCTCAATCTTAAAAAGGCAAACAATGCATCCATTGGTCTGAAGAGTTATCACCCCAAACAATGCATCCCTTAGTTTGAAGAGTTGTTACTCCCCATGTGAAGGTGTCTTTAACCCAAGGGTCATGTCTTTAACCCAATGGATTTTATTAATTTCCATTCAAATAGGAAAATCAATTTAGTTAATATTAAATTTTCCAACAATCCCCCACATGAATGGAAATTGACTCAACAACATGCAAAAAATGAAGACACTAGAGAGAGTCCTTATTAGAAGAATATTGCATCTGGATAGGTAGCTTTTGGCCTTGAACCTTCCATAGTGGAATACTATCGGATTTACTTGGCTAATCAGTGAACGTGATGTCTTGAACTGTTCAGCCGTTTGTGTAAACCCAGACAATAGCACTCACACAATACCCTTCTAAACATATTTGGTTCGATCGGTTGTGCTCGTTTTGGCCCTGAGCATTCCTGGTATTCATGAGAGCTTTAGAGAATTCAAGCCTTAAAAAATTCTCATAGAAACGGCCTCATTTCACACTCACATAGGTGACTTCCTATTAAGAGTATCATGCACTACCCCACTCGGATTTCCAAGCTATAGGAATCATTAAAATCAAAGATTACCCTAAAATACTCTACAGGCAGCACTGTTTCATCATAGGACATGGGTAGGAGATGTAATCTCGGCAGTGCTACTACTTAGTCATCCATAATTTGGTTGTCCCTTTTGAACCTAGATCTTGGGATCTCCAGTCAGCTAGGTTGGGTATCCACTATGGAGACTTTAAATATTTAGGCTTATACTCCCATTCCCCTCGATGATCAACTAACTCTCTAGTCTGACCTTTAAAAATTGGATCCACTAGGTTGACTATTTATGTAATATATTGCCATCATACTTTCATATGTGGAAATAAATTCCATTCAAGAGTAGTTGAGCGTTTAATTTATTTTGTTAAGACTTAATAATTGTGCCAACTGAGTAACCTTCTAATACTCAGTTAGACACCCCCCACATTTGTGGTACTTATAGGAAGGTCTCTAACCTTCTCATACCTTGTATAAGAGAAATTTAAACTCTTATGAACACCAAAGCCTCTCTCCACAAAAACGTGGTGCTAGAAAACTTCCATTTTCTCTGTTAGGAAATAGAATTCTAAATTTTCCTTCATGTCTGTCACCCCCACAATTTTCACATAATTGTTGAAGGTATTGAGCAATCTGTTAATCATTTTTTCATATGCCTAAGAAGTAGAAAACTTTTACTTTATCCTTAAAGAATGAGATAATGGTTCTATAGTATTAGTTTATAATTTTCCTTTAAATCAATTTAATGTTGCATTAGTAATAGAACCATGTTTATAACATAATTAACATGTTCTAATTACCATACCCTCATTAATTGATTAAAGCAAATCATTATAAAACTAATTTTCCTTTATAAAGTGCACATCAATTTATGCATAGGGTAAGGCCTTGGTACCCTTTGTCCATATGCATCTCATTCTATAGGTAGTACAATGGAGATATTTATTCTTAAAATATCTTCACTTCTTAAGCTCTTTGTAATAGAACTACAAATTAGTTTTCCCCCTTTGAAATCTCAAAGTTTTCATACCAAGTACCTCTTACTCAAAATACTTTGACTGGTTTCTAACCATGACCAGCATGGTTGCTGGGATGAGCTATGATTGTTAACATAGTCCTACATGGTTTCTCATTTCTCATACAGAGTAACAAAGTCCTACACAATTTACAAAACAAATTTTTTGCAAATTTCTGAACTTTAAACAAATTGATATGTCTCGTAATAGAGAGCATGTGGGTCTGTACACTTTCCCACATATCAATTCTATTGGACTGCAGCATGGAAATGCCTCCTGGAAGATATCAATGTTGGTTTGAAAATGCTATAATCGCATCTTCTAACTTAAAAGAATCCAACCAAATGGGACCCAAAATCTGGTTATGTGTAACCGATGGGCATCTTCGTAGCCTTAAGACCCGTTTATGATAGAAAACATCAAATGGTTTCTTAACAGTACCTTGAAGGCATCCAAATCTGCATAATAAGTGGAACTCGAAACCACTTAGTTTGGTCTGCAATTCGTCATGGCGAATATCATAGCAACTTTTAGTCTGTTCCAATGCATGGAATTGCCACAAATATATACACAGGCCATGACAACTTCTTAATTGATTATGACATATCCAAGAGTCATAATAGAAACAACTTAAAAATAGAGTGCAGTAAACAGCGACAACGTATTCATTCAAAAGATGGAGTTGAAATTAAACTAGGCATTCGATATAAGCAACTAATTTAATCTCAAGTCAACGATGCACTGAAACTGTTATATGCATTAGATTCAAAATCAATGATGCCAATATACATATATTCCCTACACATGTGCAGACTACAGATGCAAACCGTTTTGCACCTTTTAATGCATGTAAAATTTATAGGTTAAGTAATTGATAATAAAATTCAATGTTAAAACTCAAACACATTTATTTTCTTCCCTGACTACGGGTATTCAAGGAAAGATACTAACCATCTTTCGTTTCCTCTTCTCAAAGGAAACCCAAACTCAAGGAAATATTTAACATAAACATACAGCAATTGTTCCCACGAGTTTAAGTAAAAACTATGTTTATGTTATACTTAAAAAATATAGCAACTACACCATAATAATTCGTCTTAAGATTGTTGGAAAAAAATGAGTGCTAAATTGCTATAAAATAAACAAAATAAATACTGCACATAAAACAGATTTTTACAAAAGGAGAATTGAATTAGAAGAACCTTAATTGAGTCGAGGCAAGTGTTAGACACTCTGACCTTAAGACGAATTACGCCCCACACTGGTGCTTATGGTTCACTAGCGTTCGCCTCCCAGGATACAACGACTCCCCTCCTTGTGAAAGAAGCACTACAATTCACAAGGAACTTTGAACCAAATTATGCAGGAACCTCTCTTTATGAAAACTCTAATGCTTTCTATATGTGAAAGTCTGTATGTAGAGAATTAAACTGAATGAATAAAACTGCAGGAGGATTGCTCTATTTATAGATGATGAAATACCCTTTCTAAAAAGGTATCTCAATCTTAAAAAGGCAAACAATGCATCCATTGGTCTGAAGAGTTATCACCCCAAACAATGCATCCCTTAGTTTGAAGAGTTGTTACTCCCCATGTGAAGGTGTCTTTAACCCAAGGGTCATGTCTTTAACCCAATGGATTTTATTAATTTCCATTCAAATAGGAAAATCAATTTTAGTTAATATTAAATTTTCCAACAGTTCTCACTTTGAAGTTGAAAAGGGTCATTTTTTTCTGTGATGATTCCCAGCCTTCAAGTTACAAACACACTTCCTGGAAGCAGCGAGTCAATCAAGTAACTCTTGTGTTTAATGGGGGCTACAGCTTCTCAGAGCACCTACCCTGCAGGAACTAGCAAAACCATGAGTGTGAAGGAGACTTGTTTGATTTGCTTCGAAGACACTCCTATTGCTCGAATGTTTTCAATTGGTACTTGCCATCACAAATATTGCTTGTCTTGTATGAAACGTCATGTGGAAGTAAATTTGCAAAGCGGGATTGTGGCACAATGCCCTCATAAAGACTGTAAATGTGAAGTGAATATTAAAACCTGTAAAAAATTATTGTCACCTAAACTTGCCGACGTTATGATCAAACGAATCAAGGAATCTTCTATTCCTGCTACAGAGAAAGTGTACTGCGCATTTATGAGGTGTTCTGCGTTGATGTCCAAAAAGGAGGTCTTGCAACATACCAAAAGTTCTTTTGCTATTGTGGGAGGCAGGAAGTGCATGAAATGCCATCAGTTATTTTGTATCAATTGCAATCCTTGGCACTATGATATGAACTGATTACCAAAGATTAGCAACCTATTCCCTCGCAGAAGGGCAATTGCTAAAGTCGCTTGCGATGAGAAACTATGGCGCCAGTGTTCCAAGTGCAAACATATGGTTGAACTTGATAGTGGCTGCTACCACATCACTTGCAGGTGCTTTACTCTCCTCCCACTTCAATTTGATTAATCTTTTGGTTTCTTCTGTTCTGCTTTAGGGAAGAATGAATAAGAAAATGGCAATTAACATAGACACTAATGAAAACAAGATGATTGGGTGAAGTACCTATGATTTCTTGTGTGAGAATAGTGATCTTGTGTTACCATTCAGCCATCAGAAGAGGAAAAAGGTTCTTCCAGTCACTCATCTCAACCCTTTCAATAGAGTCTCCAATAAACCCAATAACATACCCAAAATTCGCAATTTGTTAAGTTTTCTCTCGATTGGTTTATGTCAACCCTAGGCGAGAGAACACTGACATTGTAACACTGTTAAATTGCCTATTTAAATTCAAAGTAGTTGTAGGAATCCCTCAAGTTGTGAGAAACCCCCATCCCTTGCAATTCAAGCTATCGTTTGTATTAAAAAATGAATACCTCAAGTAGGAAACACATTAAAAGCAAGGTAGGTTTAACCGAATCACCTTAGAAGCAAGGTACATAAGATTCCACTGTTACATAACATTGCTTGCTTCTTTGGTTTCACTCTTTTTTTCTCTTACCAGTAAATTTAAGAAAAGGTTTCACCCCTGTTCTTTTTTTTTCTGGACGCTGGTACATTTTCATGACTCTGTATTACTACTCCTTGTTGTTTGTCTCATGTCTGCATTGGCTTTGTAGATGTGGACATCAGTTTTGCTATACTTGCGGATCTGAATGGAAGAACAAGAAAGCAACATGTGACTGCACACTTTGGGATGAACATTACATAATAAGCTTAGACAGCAACATGCTCCTGCCAATTGCAACCTGTAATTTCATCACTTACAGAATTATCACTAATTGTATGATGTTCCTAGAACTTCTAGGGTGTGCTACTTTTATGAGGTTCTTATTTCGTAATTGTTCTATTAGACTGACTTCCGTGGGAACCATCAAAGTGCCAACTGAAAATGTTTTCTTTCAAGGTTTAACTTGCAGCTGCTATTGTCTTACAAACTAGTATGATGAACACTGGGTTCCCCGGATCAAAGAGAATAAATAATATGTGGATTTCTATCCAACTGAGCATAGTGTCTTTGTGGAAGTCGTGTTTTGCTTTCTTTTTCATTTATCTATTTTTTTCTAGTGAACTTCCTTTTTAATTTATTGATACCCTCAAATGACATGTCTCGAGAAATACTTACCTGTATCGGAGTGTATTTGGAAGTCCCTCACGATGCTCTCAACCAAGATGGGATCTGCTGGGTTGTGATTTTCAGCTTAGGCAACAATATCACGGGTTAAAAAAATTGAATGTGAGTGTTTGATGTAGAATCCGACCACATGAAATGAAAGGAATAGAAATGAACTAGAAAACAGAGTTCACATGGCTAAAATACAATTGTGCTACATATTATATTGGGCACGAACCACTGTATTACTTGTCAATTGTACATCTCTATAAAGGAGGCAAACTGCAGCATTTAAGTTGAATGAATCTGGGACGATGAACCTGAACCGAAAGTGTATGATAATGTATTCAGAAATCATTCATATGCAACTTTGGAAACGTTCACACTTTTTCTTCTTCTTGTTAATAATCTCTCAGCCTATATTAAGGTGAGATGAAACAATGAAAAATCGAAAAAGTTGTTAATAATCTCTCAGCCTATATTTAGAATTTTGTAGGTTTTGTAAGGCATTGCAAACATGTTTGAGTTCTCACATAGGAACACTAGAGTTCCTTGGAAGTCTTTATAAGACTTGCTCTTGGAAATAGAATAGTTTGTATTGGCTATGCAAGTGGCCCAATTGAGTGGCTTGTGGTATGACCATTGGCTTGTGGGAATAATACATTCGTGTTCTATACACGTGTCACGTTTTAAAAAAAGGAAATGTGGAATAGTCGTATTGTACATGTACATACGTATTTCTAATATTTAATACACGTATATATGTTTTACAAAATTTGCAATAAGACACACAAAATTCACGTATTATACAAATAATTCTTACATACTATTGAATAAGAATAATATATGTTATAAAAATTATATTACAATATTATATAGTGGCCAATTAATATCTATGTTGGATACGTTGAAACTAGCAAATTAATATGTATAACGTACAAACTAATGCAATTAGGAGGGTCCTTTTTTCTTTATTTTTTTTAATTAAATAGTATAGCTGGGCAGCTATACTACTTTTTTTTTTAAATAAAAAAACTAATTTATATGCCTAGTCATACTGTTTGTGTTATATATGAAATGTTGATGAATGTTCACATTTATCACTCTAGTTATTGCTAGTACAGGGTTTGCATAGTGTAGGGGTCTTTTTATTCCAGCAGCATGACGAATGGGCTTGGGCTGTTGAAAAAGAGAAACATGTGAAGCTGCCCTAGTGTTTGAGTTCAAGGATCATGCCCTAAGAGTGTTTCGAAAGGGTAGCTGAGCCTTAGGAAACACCTTGGTCTTCTTCACTAATGAAACCAACAGTCGCTTACAGATAAATTCTTGGCTTGACATGAGAAGCTTGTGGCATGGGAGCTGAGCATTCGTGAGTTTAGCATGAGAGAGAGAAGGCTTGGGTTTCCTATGAGGAACAGAGGCTTGAAGTAATGATTTCGTGAGGATTTGCTGAGGAGAGAGAGAGAGAGGCATAGATTATGGTGGATGAACATGTGCTTTGGGTAATTTTCCCGTAGCTTGACGAAAGCTTTGCCAGGCTCTGTATTGGCTTGACATAGGAGAAAAAGAGAAGCAATGGAAGAACAAGGCTTGAAATCGAAGGGTTCTAGAGATGAGAGGTGATGCTTGCTTTTTCTGGATATGGTTGCTTGCCTTTAATCGGAAAGAAAGGAAGAAGATAGGAGCATGGATGACTTTAACAGATTCCTGGGCTGCACGACAGAAGAGAAAATGGGAAGAGATGGAGAAGTGAGGCTCGAAATTGCAGGGGTTTCAGTGATGAGAGATGATGCTTGCTCTTTGAATGTGTGTTTATGGAAAGAGAGGAAGAAGATGGAAGAACAAAGCATGAAATTGAAAGGTTCCAAAGATGAGAGATGATGCTTGCTCTCTCTGGATGTAGGGTTTGAGAGAGAGGGGAAGAAGATGGAAGAACAAAGCATGAAATTGAAGGATTCCAGAGGGAATGCTTGCCTTCGATCTGTTTGTTGTGTGTTGTTTTGCTGGGAAGAAAGTGGCTCCTTTTATAGGCCCTGAAAACCTTAATTTTGTCAAGTCATCCTCTCCCATTTTCCTCACTTTCTTCCATTCCACCTTGTTTGGTGAAATTTCCTTAGCCTAAACCCATAGGCACACAGTTTTTTGGGGTTCCAAGGTCCTCAGGCAGCTGGACTTCTCCATGTGGGTGAGGAGCCACCCACTTTTTCTTCTTGTTTTCTCACCAAAGCTTGAAAAGGAAAGGATGAGTAAGGGTGCTTGGTTAAAAAGGTGACCAGTACATGGGTTTGCTTGTTTTTGGTGGTTTGGTTGTGATCTGGTTTTAGAGATGCACGACGTTGGATATTTTATAAGGTGATGGGCTGTTTTGTTTCCAGCGGCTTGTGAGTTCCCTTTGATTTCGTCAGACTGCTGGAAGCTTTGGCTGATGTGAGATTTTTATGGGCTATTAGGTTTTCTTAAGGTGATGGGCTACTAGGTTTTCTCTCATACTTAACCATATGTTTGGGCTCAAGGAATAGACTCGAGTTTTGGTGCTCCCAAGTAGCCCAAAACTTTCACTCCTTGGACCATCAATAAGCCTCGTGAATACTCGTAACCATCCATACCACAACCTACTCAGCAAGCCCCAGACATTCGAGTAACTTGGGCCCACTTAAGCTTGTAGCGTGGCATGTTGTTTAAATAAGGATTTTTCGCTTGGTGTTGTATTGGGCCGAAAATATATTTGGGCCCAGCTTGAGATTTTTTGGGCCTCAACACCTAGATTGATGGGTCCTTCTGAGTGTCTAGGTTGTCATGTAGTTATCTTCTAAGCTTGCAGGGATTTGAATATTATATATGTTGTGCATCTGTGTTATGCTTGTATATTCATAAGTCTATGACTCGTTATTGACTAGTCATATTGTCTCTACGTTTATTTGATCATTATTGTCATACATCTGTCCATTGGGGTTTAATTTACCCCCTTCACATAAGAGAGAGAGAGAGAGAGAGAGAGAGAGAGAGGAGAGAGAGAGAGAGGAGAGAGAGAGAGAGAGAGAGAGTGTGTGTGATGGAGACAAGACAGACAAAGAGCTTGAGTGGTTGGCATGTGTGTTTTTTAAATTTTGTCGAGCATAACTTGCGTATTGGCATGCCCAAGCCCAACAAAAGCCAAAGTTTTATTTTTTTAAAATTATTTGTACTATATTATATATATATATATATTATTTTTTTAATACCATTAGTCCGGTTTGATTAAACAAGTGGTTTTGAATATTGCAAATTTTACACCGAACTATATACCTAAAATCCCAAAATCTTGCTACATAGAGAAATAAAAAAAAAAGACTGTCCATGCTGCAAACAATTGTCATCAGAAGTCCAAAATTGCAGTCATCAGGAATAGCCATGAACACAGGCCAACCCTCATGTGGTGGCCGATGCAAAATTACACAACAGGAATCATATCTTACTTTCTTTTCTAACGTATTTAAAGAGTCTACTAAGCATATACTGTTCCTTTGTCCCTAGGCCCAAGCAGTTGGTTTGGTTCACCTCTAAACCATAAAGTGATGTCCAAAGATTTACCACAATTGGGAACTGGCTGTCTAGTTTGATGGTTATGCTCAGTGTGGTGAAGAAGGATAGAGAGTGGGCTTTGTCTCTTATGAGATTTTTGCTTTGGGAAAGGCTCGCTGCTCCTTTGTGTTCAATGGTTAATTATGTGATTGATCCCCACCGTGTAATCCAAAATGTGGTGTCAGCTGCTATGAAGTATACCCAGGCTAATTCTCCTGTAAGTGATCGGCAAGCGGTGGCTTTGGTTGATGAGGGAGAGGATTCTTCTTGGCAACCCCCAAAAACCTGGCTACTTAAAACTTAATATTGATGGGGCCTGGATGAAAGAGAGAAAGAAGGCTGGCCTTGGTGCGATGATAAGAAATGAGATGGGCATTCTATGCGGTGAGGTGAGTGCTCCTACATCTGTGGTTTGCAACTTGCTAGTCAGCTCTATACATAGGTGTCGATCGAAGGGTGACACTAAGAGCTTTAGCAGGGTAGTTTAACATAGCTCATGCATGAGGTGAGTCCCTCAAGAATATACCAAGAACAAAATCGATTGAACAAGTTTGACGTTTGAATGCTGGTTGTTATAAAACATAACTATTAATTCATATTTCTACATTTCAATGCACTTTTTGTGCAAGTATTTGTACACTTGTTTGTACATGTTGTTTATGCAATTTTGTATTGAAGTGTTTATGCACATTCTATGCAAGTGTTTACAGTTTTTATGTAAGTTTGATAAGGTAAATGTGGAATAGGTTGACGGTTGCCGCGGCCAGCAAATGTTGAATTAGTTGCGAGAGGAAATTGGGATTCGATGCAAGTGAGATCAAATTGGATGGTATTGCACAAGAAGAAATATGGTAGATGTAAATATAATTACAGAGAAAAAAAGTCTCTCATGGTGGCCGATCACAATGGCTGGATTTCTTTTGGAAAAATAAATTATCATCTTGTTTATAAAGAAAGCTAAAGTTTATGTGGCGTAAGGAGTATTGTATTGAAATTAAAACATATATAAGCTAAAGTCTATGTATAATTTGTACACATGAAATTAATTATGCAAGCAACATTAGTTTTCTTTTGAAGAAAAGTATTGACCTGATAGCCGACTTGACGTTTTCTCAAATAAGCACCTGATCGAGCATTTTCTTTTGAATTTTTAATAGGATCTATAAAGAATTTATACACTAGTATCTTGTTCTAAATTCATTTCAACTTAAAACAAACTAGATGCCTTAAGCAGCAAATATTTCGGTCAAGGCTCAACATCTATTTATTTTTATTTATAACGTTTTTATTTAGAAGAAATTACATTTATAATTTAGCCGTAAAGGGCACCGATCACAAGGACTAATACAAACACATGAAGGATACATCAACAACATCTAGACAATAAGGTATCCTTCCAACAATATCCACAACTGGCCAAAGCACCTCCACCGCATAAAGTCAACAAACTTGGATAAACGAGGCACGTCAACAACATAAAGTAAAATTAAAACTAAACCCTCACAAGGAAAGACAACTAACTCATAATGAGTGTTGCAACTTATTCCGACTCAAAAAAAAGTCAAACAAAAAGTTAAAACATGAAAAACAACTCGCACAACCACTATGGAGGAGCCATTGTACTTTATCCATCCTTGGGATTCAAATTTGATACACAAATTTGGCAGCCCTACCATTATTGTTCCCACATCTTCGGATTTTCTTCTTACTAATTGAGGATCTCTTGAGAAAACTTTTGAACCAGTGCGTCGATAGTTTTGAGTGTCTTTCCAGTCCATTGTCATAATCAATATAGTTAATACCAAATCGAACAGTATATCCTTCGCTCCATTCAAAGTTGTCTAGCAAAGACCATGCAAAGTATCCCTGCACATTAGCACCCTTCCTACAAACACCCCAAAAAAAGAAGAACATAATTGGTTCAATGTAGTGATTAAATAACCGAAATGTAGGAAGGCCAAAACATATATAGCCTTAATTAATTTGTTGACAAAAACTTACTTAATTGCTGCTTGGAGGTAACAGAGGTGGCGATAGTAGTAGTCAATTCTATTAGCATCATCAAGTGCTTGCTCAAGTGATAATTTGGGATTATTGAACTCATCCATGCCTGCAATATAACTCGGTATCAAATGCATACAATTTGTTTAACCAAAGAAAAAATGTACATTTAGTTTTAAGTTTAGAGATTACAACACTTCACTTTATTTTACACCATTATACATATATGTGAAACATTGATGATGCAATTAATTAATGTTTAAAAATATTAATTACCATTCTCAGTAATGTACATAATTGGATCATTATACTTTTCCTTTGTGTAGAGTACAAGATCGTAAAGTCCTTTTGGGTAAACATATAACCAGTCTGAAGCAGCCTGCAACCCATTTGAAGATCAACGAGACTATTAGGACTTTATGTGTACATGGAAGACAAAATATATGCATAGGTATTAATTATCAAAATCCCAATAACTTAAGCTAATAATTTATTGCGTACCCGTGGACCAATAGGGACCCCATTAAGATCAGCTGCTACAACATAAATAAATATGAACATTAGGATCTAATTATTAGGAGAACTACATTAATTTCTTGAAATTTTCAATTTGTACTCACTTGTAACATTAACATGAACATCTGTTAGGTAGCTTGGAGGTGTAGGTGCAGGATAATCCTTAGGATAAGCGCTTGCATATCTAGCAGAGTAGTAGTTTACTCCAATATAGTCATATGACCCACTTAGCGACTTGGATTGTTCTTCCGTGAAATTCGGTAACCTTGCACCAACAATAGATCGCATGATCTGCGGGTAGTCACCTCTTGTCAATGGGTCCATAAACCTATGAAAATTCCAAAAGTGAACTTATAACATTATATAAAGCACCATGGGCTACCTAACTGAAGTTATAATTCAAAAATAAAGCATTTAAATGAGTTGATATATAAATTAATAATACACTTACCATCCATACATAAAATCCAAAGCTTGAAATGCAGCGTCTTTATCTTGTTGTGACTCCGAAGCGGGCTCAAACCAATGTGATACAACTGTTATTCCTATGACACCATTTTGACATGCCTGCTCCAGAATGATAAGTAATATTTGTTGTTTTTTTTTCATTTAGAGCCAAAAAAAAAAAATTATTACAACCATTGTTTATCTCAATGTAAAAAGTATTCCCACTTATATTGTTACATAATACTAGTTACTAGTTGGACCCCAATGTTCTGAAAGAAAAAAAAAAGACTAATGAAAGTACCTGATATTTTTCCCTGTACAATTTTACAGCAGCTGCATGAGCAAGGAGTAGATTGTGTGTCACCAAATATGGTTCAGCACCCGAATCTCCACCAAGGCAGTTTGGGTTATACCAATCAGAGCATCGTCCTGGTGCATGGATCCCAATTGTGTAACCATGGTTACTAATGGTATATGGCTCATTAAGTGTGGTCCAATGCTTTACTCGATCACCAAATTCCTTATAACAAAGATCTGCGTATGCTTTAAAGTCATCGCTGCGTGTACACATTTAAAAATGTATTTATTGTATATAATAGTATTTATATAATTAAGTGATCAATATTATACAAAGGATGGAATTGTCCACTTACACAATACGAGGGCTTAACAAACCGTCATATTCGTCTACTAAGGCTTGGGGAACATCCCAGTGGAAGAGTGTCACTAATGGCTCTATACCTATATATAGCATGACAAGTGAAGGAAAATTAAAAGTTTGATTAAACAACTGCAGGTACTGTTATATTAGGAGGATTTTATGAGATTGGGAGCTGTATCACCATTGCGTAGGAGTTCATTGGTGAGATTATTGTAGTATTCGATTCCTTTCTTGTTAATTCCACCACTTAGTTTTCCATCTAATAATAATTAAAACAAAACAAGAAAAATATAAGCCAATACCTATCATGAAATAGGAATTAAATTGAATAAAAGATGTTAAACGTTAAAGCGATTGGTCGCAATATTATATATGTGGATGCGGATGATCAACTTACTTGGTAACAATCTGGACCATGAGATAGAGAACCTATAAGCATCCAACCCCATATCCTTCATAATTGCCACATCTTCCTATAATGACACAAAAGATGTACATAATTATATAATAATAAAAAAAAGAAGCTAAAAATTAAGTATATCATCTTTAATGTCGTGTTCAAATTCAAATATAGAAGGTCTACATAATACAATTATGTGATTTTCAAACCTTATAACGGTGATATTGATCAATAGCAACATCTCCATTGCTACCATCAGTTATCTTTTCTGCAATTAATCAAATGTAATTTTAGTTATAAATGAAGAAACAAAGTAATTTAGCTATCTAGATATTTAAATAGAGGAATTAATGATAGCAACCTTCACCCTAACCATCTTGCTTGGAACTTCTCACTTCTTCTCATGCGATATATTATTTATTCCTCTTAATTACGTTTTTGAATGATACATTAATACATTAAAAAAATTGAAATGAAGTAACTGATAATCAATTTAGTCACCTAAAAAAATAGAAAATAGAAGATTTGTTAACTAGTTGATTGTTTGATTCAACAGACCTGGATGCTCATGGGTGAAGTTATCCCATACGCTTGGTCCTCTACCGTCTATGTTTGCAGCACCTTCTAACTGAAATGCACATACAGATATATATATATATATAAAACACGATTTACAATATTCATAAATGAGACATGCTCCCAGAATGCACTGACTTGGTAAGCTGCTGTAGCTGCGCCAAATGTGAACCCTGGAATAAGAGTATCGAAATGGGTCCTGTTGAGAGTTGCACAAACAATGGGTGGATCTGTCCTGGCAGCATTGGTATTTGCCAATGCAAAGCCAAGGAGAAGCAGCACCACACACAAGAGCAAAGAGCGGAATTGCAATGCCATAACTGAGTGGAGGGTTTTTGATGATCGAGCTAGGTGTGCTCTTCCTGCTATATTGCATGGGGTTTATATAGAGGGAGTACGTAACTTCTACACATGAAAATAATAATTCAAAAGCATTTTTATTTCTTTTTTGCTTTCTTTTTTGTAAAGCCAAGCGGGCTTTAAAGCTAAAGTACGGGGACAGACACAGAAAAGTTGGGACCTTCCTTTTTTTCCCTTTCTCTATACTACTGTATAGAAAAGCAATCCAAAGATTCCACTATGACCACCTTCAGAGTCTGGTTTTGCTCCCGTGCCCTAACCTCTGGTTTTGGAAAGATAATCTAATTGCACCCTTCTCCATTAATGTTTTCTATCCTATCTCCATCAATTGGCGTTAATTGCT